TAAAACGAATATAAAGTTGTTTTTTGGCATTGAAAAATGAATAGACCAGATGCATGTATACTTAATATGAATAGACTGGATGATTGTATACTCTGTGTTCTCCTATCTTCAAAACCCTTTTCCCATCCCTTACACTTCCTTTTACCTTTTGTATTCCCTACCCTATTCCCAGTAGTTTAAAAAATAAAAAAAAATATTTTAAAAAAAGGAGGAGAAATAATGAAATTGATGTAGAATTATTTTGGTCCCAACTTGTTTCTTTTAATATATAACTAATATATTGTTGCATTTTATATGTATCCTTGTTGAATATTTTTGATTACTTTTAATATATTATGAGAAAAATATTAATACAACATTTCTGTATATTACAACATTCTGCCATGAATAAAATAAATAACCAAATACTCATTCCAGTGGCTAGATTAAGTAAAAGGGGCCAGCATAATTTTCTCCTGTCAGATATTTCTGAAGTGCCAACATAATACCAGATACAATGCAAGAAGCTGGAATGATGATACTGTAATTCAGAAACACAATCCTGTATTAATGGAGCCTACTTCCAGATAGGTAGGCCGTGTGGTGCTGTGTGTTAAACCGCAGAAGCCTCTGTGCTTCAAGGTCAGAAGAGCAGCCATCGTAAGATCGAATCCACGTGATGGAGTGAACTCCCATCGCATGTCCCAGCTCCTGCCAACCTAGCAGTTCAAAAGCATGTAAATGCAAGTAGATAAATAGGTACCACTTTGGTGGGAAGAGAACAGTGTTTTGTGTCTATTCGCGCTGGCCACGTGACCACAGAAACTGACTACGGACTAACGCTGGCTCTACGGCTTGAGATGGGGATGAGCACCACACCCTAAAGTCGGACATGATTGGACTAAATGTCAAGGGGAACCTTTACCTTTACCTTACTTTCAAATAAACATGATGAGTAGTCCAATTTAAGAGAGACCAGGATTCCATTTCATGCACCTCCTTGGCAGGGGGAAGAACCACTTCCACACAGGCCAGTCCCATTCTGCTTCCTGTTAACAGGAAGACAAGAGTCCACGTGAGGTGGATGTGATGATGGACTGGAGGTAACCACATAATCATGCTTGTCTTCCAACCTCTTTTGTCTTAGTGATGCCAGGTTGGATCATATGGAAGGAAGTAGCTCTCATGCCTTTAGAGGTAAGGTATGAGTTACTCAGGCCGAATACAGTGAATATTACAAGGGCTTGAAAAAACTGTGACAAAGATGGGGCTACCATAACATTTTTTGTGGCATGAACTCCTTGATAACAGCTTTGCAGAACATAGCAAACATGCTGAATGAAGTTATATATGTAGATCTATATGTGGCCTTGAAATGGTGGGAAAAGACAGAGGGGATAGGTGACGGTACCTATGCTGCCCCTTCCATAGCCATTCTGCTACACTACCCTCCTTGTCCTGAGGTGGGTGAGCCTAGGGAAGAGCCAGCTGGATTATGGAAACTTATGGAGACCATATTACTCTCAAGCACTCCACTTAATCCTTGCAGTATCTCCAGTGAGTCTGAAAAATCCATACGGCAAGGAACTCAGAAAACTTGCTAACCTTGGAAGATAGAGAGATGCCACCACACCTACTCAACAAACATCCACATCCTGGCTGCTTGGTCAAGACCAGACTCAGTTTTACTACCACCGACCTTCTCCGCCAAAACTCCAGACTATTGCTTGAAAGGATTTTTGTATTTTATTAGCATGACAAGACTCGGTCTTACTACCACCGACCTTCCGTGCCAAAGCTCCAGACAATTGCTTGAAAGGATTTTTTATATTTTATTAAAAGAAAAGGGTTAAAAGGACAAAAGTTTTTAAATGTTACCAAAAACATTGCACAAGATGCTTGTAGTGAAATACAGAGACAGTCTCAGGCACTTTAAATGAAACACACCAGGAAAAAAAAGGCTAAATGTATATGCCTAATACTTATACCTTAGCAGGGTGGTAGCTTGGAATCAGGACATACCCTTTTCTGGTACTGCTTCCTAGAACCGCAAGCAGACAGTGGGTGAGCAAAATCTTCCCCTACCCTTAGAGGCAAACAAAGCTCTCTAACTAGTTTTCCTAATCTCTTTTATACGAATAAATAAAGCTACTACACACCTGTAGTAGCTTTATTTATACGAATAAATAAAGCTAGTACACACCTGTCACAATCAACCTCTTAATTCCCTTTCATGTTGGCTCAAAAAAGGGCATATTTTTCTTTCTTTTTGGCAGCCTTTTCAATGCATCTGCTGTTTGCTGAAGCCACAGTTCTTGCTTCTCCACCTTGTATCTTCTGCAAGTGTGAGGTCCCTGCCTTTGCCTTTTACCCAGACAGGTGGCACAAAGTGGCAATGATGGGGTGGAAATTGTGACTTGGGTAGGACTAGATTGTGGTGAGATCTCATTCTGGAACATATCACTGAAGGAAAATGCTTGAGAAGCAAATGCTTGCCTTCTGCCTCCATAAAAAGATATGATCACCTCACACTTTCTAAAACAAAGTATGCAGGACTGAAAAAGAAAGTCTGAGTGTATTCAGAAATGGAAGTTAAAGGGGAACTGGAACCATGAATGTCATGGAGAGGAAATGAAACTGGGAGAATATGAAGTGCACAATTCTAGTCACACATGCAGGTGGGGGGGTTAGGCTGAGATCCAAAATGCATCTAGTTGTCATTGTACAGTGTGGCCACCACATTCCTCACAGACAAAGCTCACTCCAGATGACTATGGGGTATGCCATACAGGTACCACTGCATCAGATTTCAACTCACAAGATGAAGTATTCCTCTTCCTGAAGCAGCTGCGAGGGCAGGGCAAACTGAAGCCTCACTACTTCCACAAATATGATGCCATTCTAGCATATTTTGGCAACATAGCTGTATGAAAGTGAGAAATCTGCCTTTTCATTTCAAAGGAACCATTTCTGTGTCCTTTGTTTTAAAATAAAAAAGTCAGCTTTTTCTGCTTTTCCCACTTTTGGTGGCACAGGCTGAGCAGCACAGATTCAAATCCAGCAGAAGGGGATCGTAGAGGTGGGTGAAAAAGAGGCCTTCCTGTGGTTCTTGTGCTGCGCGTTGCCCACCCCCCGCCTTAGGGGCAGTTTTACCTGAAGCTCGAGGTAACAGAAATCAGTGCTGGAAAAAATCCAGGCGGAATGTTAGTTCAAACTTTTGCAATGAAGTAAAATCCCATGAACTACCCCTGTGTTACCAATCTTGATAGATAAGAGTTTGTGTATTCCCACTGTGGTGTGTAGAGGACAGAGTGATGGATGAGGACGCTGGAGAACAGGGTTCGAATCCCCACTCAGTCATGGAAACTCACTGGGGGAGTGGAACTGGCAAAACCACTCCTTAAGTATCTCACTTGCCTTGAAAGCCCTGTTAGGATCACTACAAGCTGGTTCCAGATTGACAGCACAAAACACACACACAAACATACAAGAACTTGGTCCACAGGAGCTTAAATTATAGTAACAAAACTCCCCCTGCCAACTTCTGCAGTCTGTCTGTCCTCCTTCTTCTCTATAAAACAATCTGGGAGCTGAGAGAAAGAGGAGATGCTGTATTTGGAAAAACTGCAAATGTATTTGTTTCGGTTTTTAAATCTGTGCCTTTTGTGAGCTGCCATAAGTCCCAGTTTTGGGAGAGTGGTATAAATAAATGAGAACAAAAGGATTAATAGACTTGAGGAACAGCATCAGTTCAAAGGCCAGATCCAGCATGAGAACTCTCTCTTTAGCTTTAGGAAATGGATCTCCAGCTTTATATACTCTTTATCACTGGCCAAGCCTGGAAATACTGCAACCCCAGGATTGGCTGGGAAGTTCTCCTGTAAGACTTGCAGTTTAAGGGAATTAACTTTTTCAAGCTCTGACTGGCGGCTACTATACCAGGCCGCATGTTGTTCTGAGATCTGTTTCTGTGGTCAGCAAGGGAAGACTGGAAGGAGGAACTTGACTGCTGGTGGACCAGGGGACTTTCAAAGAAGGGGAAGGAAATGGGGGTGAAGGGTTGGTACTCTTCCCACTCATCAGCTGCAACCCAGCTTCTTTACCCCATGCAGAACAAAACTAAATGGTTTGGTGCATATCTTCTGGGGTCCCAGGGCACTCCCAGAAGAAGGAGAATATAAACCACTTCTGAATACCGAGGATGTGGGGTGGGGGACCAGGATATGTGTGTGTGTGTGTGTGTGCGCGCACGCACGCACACATGTGTGCGAGAGAGAGAGAGAGAGAGATGCCAATGTTATACTTGTACACCATCTGAAAGCAAGGGTGGATGATACCTCTATGATACTACTTAAAAAAAACCATAATCATAATTTTTGTTCCCTGTTCCCACTAGACTGAACCTTAGTTTATGTTTCTGACTGTCAGTCGTCTCATAAATGTATCATCAACCTTTGCCTTCTTAAGAGCTTGATTCTGACACCAATTACAAACTCCCAGCTTCTACATGTATTCATGTTTTTTTCCTGACCTTTGTCTTCTATGCCCACCTAGGATGTGCAATCCATTAATCTGGGCCAAAAACAAATGCTAGGGATAGCCGGTGAATAGAAGAGGAAAATCATTAACTGTTGTAAAAGTTTGGGAGTCACAGTGGGAGTTTCTCTCTATATGTAGGTTTTGCTTCTATGAATTAGCTTTATTTCTTTGGTGATTGAAGCACTCCTTTGAAATCCAGTTTCACAGACCTGAACACACTGTGTGGGTCACTGATCTGTAACATTAACAGGCTTTCTCCCCTAATTATGGTTTGTCTCCAGTTTGTCTCTGGCCTTAGCGTTAGGCACTTAGTGGACAAACTGGGTCTTCTCCTTAATGTTCTGAATAGCAAAACCTGTTCAAATACACTGCATTATCTACCAAAACATTGACAGAAACTGAAGGGAGTAGGGAAAGAAGAAGACTAAATGTATGATAGATCGATTAAAGGAAGCCATGGTCTTCAGCAACGTTCGCTGTACACTGCATTATCTACCAAAACATGAATGGAAGCTGAAGGGAGTAGGAAAAGAGGAAGACTAAATGTATGATAGATCGACTAAAGGAAGCCATGGTCTTCAGCAACGTTCCTTATAAGCCTCATGGCTGTGCAGTGCTGCATCAGGACCGCACAGCTAAGCCAGTGTTGCTGCTCCTTTGCTTCCAGTTGCAGCCGGAACCCTGAGCAAGCAGAGCAGGGCTAGCAAAAAAAATTAAGAGGTAACATTGGTCTTCAGCATGTAAGACCTGAGCAGAGCTATTAATGGTAGCACCAGCTGAAGGCCATTCACTCATAGGATTGCCTTCAGTTGGAAATAATTTGACAGAACATACCAGCACCACCGCTCAGTGGCACCGCCGGTCAGTGTTGTAAGATCAATTTGCCTTGATCCTGCTTTGAGGATCACATATCTTCCTGCTCTTTGCCCACCCTCACTTTATGATTTCAGCTAACCAGGGTGCAACAGAGGCTGATCTTCTCAGAGCTATTTAACGTGTATATGGTGCCATCTGGTGTGTCATTAAGGACTTGGAGTGAGGTGTGTCAGCAGGAAGTATGTGCCTTCAGATAAAGGTGTAAATACAAACTGCATCAGAGATATTTGTGCATTTCTGAACCAGCCACGAGGCAGAGCAACAACCCTGAACTAAACTGCGCAGAACCCTCACAGATCCCTCGTACTGCGCATGGAATTCACACTTTGCAATTAGAAGTGTGGAAAGAGAAAGAAAAACTAAGGAAGACAAAGAAGAATATGCTCTTCATTCAGAAATGAATCTTCCTTGGTTGTCCTGCTGGGAAGTCATTGATCATTGCCGTCTCATGGCTGCAACTCTGCTAATTTCAGATCCAGGGAACACGAAGGGCAGGGGAAGAGGGAAAGGACAGAAAATGTAGACAAGCAGACTCTCCACATTGTATGTTAAGAAGCACTGAAAGAAGACCATAGCCATTCCTCTCTTAAAGTCTTTCACTCATTTCTTTCCCAGTGGTTGTCTTGTGAAATCATTTGGGACTGGTGGCTGGGGAAAAAAATAAGAGGAGAAATAAAAATAAACAAAGCAGCCAGTTCTCCAGACTGCTACTGATGTTCTTCTGTTTTGCCTGCACTGTTCAATGCATATGCAGGGGTGTAAAGGTGTTGACACCAATTGGTTTGCCTTTTATTTGGGCACAGAGTGAGTCGTGGTGGGGTTCTGCATATTCCTGGTCAACAGTATGGCACTGACATCCAGCTGTTTTTCTCTCTCTACTCCAGCATCCTGTTTCCTAAAGCGGGCAGCCGTGGAAAGCCCACAAGAAGGTCATGGAGCCATCATTCCCCAGCTGAAAGGTACGCTGCCTCTGGACCTAGAGATTTCTAATTAGCTACTTTTATACTTACAGTGTGCAGAATCCTCTAGACTGCATAGCCAGTATCAATGATGGTGGCAGGATTCTGCAAGTTGTCACCCAAAAGGGAACATTTCCAAGCTCTAGAACAGGCAAACATGCAAACACACACCTGAATTGTGTTGACAAATCTTATTGGGAATCTCTTACCTGCCTACTTTAGAGTTCTCACCTAATCAAATGACTCTCAGTCAGTTAACACCAAGCATTTGGGTCAATGACATGATTCTCTTAAATTTGTGTATGATTCAATACACAATACAAAATGTCCAGCTCCTGCAAACTGAAGCCCATACTTTCCTTTAGTGACTCAATCCATATCGTGTTTGGCCTTCCTCTTTTCCTGCTCCCTTCAACCTTTCCCAGCATTACTGTATTGCCTTTTCCAGGGAATCCTGCCTTCTCTGCCCAAAGTTGGACAGCTTCAGTTTCATCATCTTTGTCTCCGGATATCGTTCAGGCTTGATTTGATCTAGGACTCCCTTGTTTGTCTTTCTGGTTAATCCAGGGTATCTGCAAAACTCTCTTTCTGCCCCATATTGTAGCTATTATAAACAGGTGTATATTGCAAGTACTGCCTCTAAAAATCTGCCTAACCAATCAAGATTAACTTTCAATCAAACAAAAACCCTAGATATAGCCCTACTTTAGTAATACCTGTATTTATGTACCTCTATATTTGCCCGTGTTGCACATGCCGCCCCCCCCCCGCCCTCCGCTAAGTTACTCTCCCAGCACTCTGCCTATCTCTTTAAGAGCTCTCCTCTTGCCTCGCCCCACCTCACTCCCCATCCCGGTAGAGCCCGGAAAAGTGAAGTGAATCTTCTGCTCTTTTCAGAGCGGACTGATCGCAAAAGCAACCATTTCATAGCACAAGGAATAGCAGAGGACGTGCGACCCCGAACCTGCCATGGAACCAGGTACGCATCCCCGCATGGGAAGGCTTATGCTACGGTAGGGCACGATCCTCGCTCTTTCCCCCCGAACTCTCGCCTTTCGCGTAGGCTTCTCGGGAACTCTAGCACGGCTCTTTTGACCAAGCATGTACAGTAGCTACTTTCAGGTATCCGACCGAAGTCACGATGAAACTTTCATGTTAATATATTCGATTGCTTGTCCGTTTATGGGTTGCCCGGCTCCTCACCGCTTCGATTTCGGCCCTAGAAAGTCCCGGGGGCGGGGGGGGGCGGTGTCCGTAAGGCGAAATTGGAGCGATCGGTCCTTCTAAAGAGGAAGGATGGGTTAAAACAATATTCTAAATAAATAATAAAATTAATAAATGGATCCCGCAAGCCTGTGGTGACGGGGTCTGTAGCAGGCAGTTCTCCCCTTTTCTGACTGCGGTGATTGCGAAGGCCGGAGAATGGTCTCTTTCGTTTCCCCTTTGCGATGTTTGCTCGCAGGCTGGGGCGGCAACGTGTACGAAGAGGCGGAGGCGAACCGGGTGGGCGCCGCCAACCGAGAGCTGGAAGACGTCAACGAGCCGCCTCTGAACGGACCAGAGGTTCAAGTAAGACACACACAACATCAACACACACACAACCCTCCAGGAATGGGTTTATGAGCCACGGAAAATGCCTGTTAAGTAGCGTGTATGTGAGCGTTACTCTCTTTGTAAGAGGCTGTTTTTAGATTATTTTTGAATCCCTAAGAATACTGTAAAGCAAAACCTCAGATCCACAGGTGGGCAGTAATAATTATGAGGGTCAAATCCACAAAATGTTCACACTTTTAAGCTGTCCAGAATCCTTCACCAGGTTAAATGTTAGTTTGTGTTTAAAAAATAAATAAATAAAAACGCGGAAGGAAAGAGAAAAAACTCCAGACCCTCAAATTTTGAGGGGCAGGCAGTCTTGTGTAAACCACTGAGATCTGCAATCAGGCTTATAACGTATATAGTGATTTTAGTTTCTATACGTTTTTATTAAAACTTTATTAGTTAGGCATCCTTCAGTCTCGAAAGACTATGGTAACATGCTCTGACTTGGAACAGCATCTAGTGCAGTCAGAAAAGGCAGGGGTCATTGTGCGTACATTTCAGGTGCCCAGCTTTAGGGCAGAAGTTTTCTTACGATTGTTGCATGGTGCAGGGCTATCGATCTGCTTGTCGGGTTTCACCCTAAACCCCACGCACCCCGTGAAGTTAACAGACCGTGGTGAGGTAGCATCTTACTGGCTGGGGACTGCCCATCTTAAGGCAGGCGGTATCTACCTACAGTAGTGAGGTGCAATGACCTCTCCCACTGTCAGAAGTAGACCCTGGCATCATGCTCCATGCCAGACCTGGGCAAAGTGCGGCCCAAGAGCCGCTCCTGTCCAGCCCACGGACAGTTTTGAACATCAAAACCATTTGCAGCTTTTTGTCTAAAGTTGATCAGTTGCTTATCTTTAACATATCGCAAAAAATCTTTTTAGTATTTGTGAAGATTAACAAGTTTAAAATAAAAACAATCATAACATCACTGTTTCATTTTATTTTTAAGTAAAGTTAGTTCGGCCCCCGGAACACAGTTCTGATTTTTCATGTGGCCCCCTCCCTATAGAAATTAATTACCCACCCCTACTCTACACCAATCAAGCAAAGACTTATAACCGGTAACTGCTACTTCCCGTGTTGTTTCAACGCTGTATGCAAAGCTGGAGCGTCCTCTCCAGAGCATGAAGCCTGGGTAAAATAATCTGGAGGATAGTCTGTTACCCAAGCAGCAAATCCCCCCTCTCCATGTCGCTGAAATAGTCCAGTGGGAAGGCAAGAGCCAATACAACTGGTTCCAGTGACATCGCAGGAGTTGCCAGAACCACACAAACTGCCTCTGGGACTCCGGCTCCGGATTTTGCCTCGAGATTAACTCCTGAAGCCTTTTCCATAAGTGGATATAGCCACAAGGCAGTGGAGGTTTGAAATTGGAGTTTTCCTTCTCCTAGATGGGCTGCCTTCCAGGGCTGACGAGCCCTACCTACAGGCCTTTATACTTTATAACTTTGTATAAATTAAATTTTATTTTTATAATTTATAGAGTTTTGTTTTCTGCTAATTTCACCAAAACTCCTATCAAAGT